ATCTCTTCCCTTACATACTGCAATAGCTTATTCCCTCACTTTATTTACGGTTTCTGCTAAAAAAATGATGTCCTCAGAGAGACCTGCTCTGACCATCCTACCCCAATTAGCATCCCCCTTCCTACTCTAGTTGTCACAGTCATATTGTCATTTTGTGGTATTGTATGCTAATTTTATGTTTTTCTCCCCCACTAGAATGCCAGCTCCTTGAGAGGGAGACTTTCATTGTGTCCCCTGTTCTGTCCCTTGGATCTACCGTAGTAGGAAGCTATCTGTTCAATTTATGAATTCTGAAAGCTAGGTTACCTGACTAAAATCTCTCTTATTGACCTTTACCCAGTATGTAACTGAACTTAATCATAAGCTAATGTTCATAAAAAGAGAAGTCCATGAGTCAAAGAGAGCATAGATTGTTCTAGCTGATAAGAAAGACGGAAGAGTAAAATAATACTGCTTCAGTAATACAGCCTCTTAGAAAAGACACAACTGACTTATGGTTAAGATGGGTTGTCGAGAAATTGGGTGAAATGGCCAAAATATTCTTCATATCATAATGTCTTGAAATCCCAACGCTGTCCTGTAAAGGGCGCCGACTAATATCAGGTTAGAAATCAAGAGATCGGAGGAAAAAAAAAAAAGCAGCAGTCTACATGAGCTAAAATCAGGATTAGAGTGGTTGAGATTCATAATTTTTAAGGAAAAGTGAGAAAGGCAATTAGACATTTGTTCTTCTAAATATTGATAAAATATGAACTCTTAAAACAGCGCTATCACGGAGAACAGTCAGTGATTCTGTAACTTCTTCCTGCGTTCATAGATCGTAACCCCACTAGAGGGTGAGGACTTCATGACATGGTAACTGCTGAGCCACTGTGTTGCATATTCGAAACCAATGTGAGATTGTATATCAATGATACTTTAATTTTAAAAAAGAAGAGTGCGCTCCCTTGTTCTTAATTCACTAGATGAGGAATGCTGGCTGTTGGGTTTGGGGTTGGAGTTTTTTACCAAGATAATTGGGAAGCATGTTGGCATTTCTTCCAGCCACATTTCTGAATGCCTGACTGTCCAGACAATCTAGTAGGTACAGAATAGTCTCTTGAATCCTGCATTTCAACCTCTACATATAAAGGGCTGAGAGAAAATTAGAACCATACCTGAAAATAGAAATACCATATTGTGTGCAGGCCCCCTGAAATTATCTATAAAAAGTTGGGTAGATAAGCATATGTACATTTTCCTGGAAGCACACCCACAAATCCTCGGTCATCTCTTAAAGGGTCTGAGATTCAAAACAAGATTAAGAATCACTATCATACTATTGGTTTTTTTAGATCAATTTTGAGACAGAGAAAATAGGATTGGAAATGATTGCCATCTTCAGCCCATAACCTTCCTCTCTTCTAGGTCTCCCACGTGCCCATTCCCTACACCTAAGTCAACAGGCTCTTCACACCGTGGGTACTTTTAGAACCTGTGATTGGTGGGGAGTGAGGGGGATGAGAGGATATAGGGTAAGGAAGGGAATAGCCCCTCGCCAAATTAAAAAGGTTTTAATTTAAAGGAAACAACAAAAAAAAAAATAGGAGGGGGAAGAGGAAAAGAAAAGGAGGGGTAGATGAGAAGGACAGACTGAGTGATTTACGCACACGCAGTCGTGGGGAGCAGAATCAGAACCTCGTCAGAAGAGACCCTCACACTCCACAACCCACATAAAGGATGATGTAACAACCGGGTGTGTGTGAGTGGCACGGCCTGGAGGAGGCCCTAGAAACTATCACCACCTAAGCACGGGTGGAAAAATCAGTGGGGACTTCAAAGTCGTTCATAAAACCCTTCCGGTATAGCCCCTGCTCCTGAAACGTCGTCCTGCCTGATGAGTGTTTTCCGGTGGGTGTGAGTCAGCCGGCTCCTGTTTACCCAAACAGTCTGGAGGAAACACTCGTGGCTGTTCACACCAACTCACTTTCCTTTGAGTGTGATTCTACTTAGAAAGTAGAGTGATTCACCTGAGCCCGTGAATCTTTTCCTGAAATCAGCAGCATTTCGCCAACCCTTTCACAAGATGGGATTCCACCCAATGACCGCCTTTCTTCTTTTTGCCCTGAAACTTCCCCAGGTGCCTGCAGCATCTTGCTACAGCATTGCTTTCAGGTAGAAAAGGGGCAGCCTTAAAGGCCTCCCAGTTCTGGGCCCAGAAAGAACAAATGACTTGTCTGAGCTGCCTTTTTAAGTCCCACCAGCCACCCTCCTATTCCTGCCCTTGAAGCGGCTGGATCTTCCGATCTCACAGTGTCTGTACTCCCCGTGCCCAGCCTGGAAGCCCACTACCCACCTTTATTTGCCTGGCAAACTCCTTCCTTCCCACGGGTCCTGCCTCTGCCCCACAGCCGAGACTCAGGCTCCCTGCCATGTGCTTCCAGTGCATTTTGCATCGCTCCTTCCCGTCACTCCCCACGCTTTTAACTCTGGTTTGATGCCTGTCAACCTTACTCAATAGTAAGTTTCCAAAAGTGGGGACTATGTCTCTTTTGTTTACTTTTAAACCTAACACCTACCTAGGACAGAATAGAAACTCAGGTAAGTCCTCATTGCTCAAGAGAATGAAAAAACTGAATGAGATTAATGAATGAACAAATGACAGAGTTTAAAGTCTCCTCCCTCCAAAGTCAGAATGCCTTGTGCTCTAGCTTTACAACATCCTTAAGAGGTATAAGAAGGAAGGAAATGATGAAGACGCTTCTCCCTGCTTGTCAGGTGAGGAGATGGAAGTGTCTAGCCCTGAACTCTGGGATTCGGGGAAAGCAGACCACTTGTCATACCCCCTGAACACTCATGACATTTCACCTGTGCATTTGTGCCATCGTCTGGAATACTCTCTTCAATACCTATAAATATGCAACCTCCCAGACGCACATATTTGGAAGGACACATAAGAATCTGCAACAGTAGTTGCCTCCAGCGAGAGGTATGGGGGGGATCTGTCCCCATTCTATTCCCTTTTGTATTGTTGCAGTCTTATAGGTGTATGTGGGATACACTTCCAAGAAACAAACTTGTTAACAAAAACATTAAATGAAACTAACATAATGAAAGAAGTTTCTATCCACTTTCCAAATTCCAGAGCAAAGACTTCCATATGCTCTCTACTTCTTTCTATGACTTTATCAACTTCTCTCACCTTTTGAAAATTCCTATACTTCAATTCATTTCAGTTCAGTTCAAATGAACTCATATACTTAAATTATTTATAGCATATTCTACTTATTACCATAGGACCTGGATACAAGGTTTAGCATTCCCCCCTGTACCCCACCAGCTCCCTAAATGTAAGCTTCTCCAGTTGTATTCATTGAAGCCTCTGAAGTCAGGCTGTGTGACCACAGAGAAATTGCTAAACTACCCTGTGCCTCTCTTTCCTCTTTTATAAAATTGTAATGGTTGCAATAATAACACATATCTCATAGGGTTGGCATGAGAATTAAATGAATAATACACATAAAGCACTTGGAACGGTGCCTGGTATATATAGCAAGCATGTTGTGCCTACTATTATTATTCATTCAACCAACATTTGTGAGTAGACGCTCATGTACCAGACGCTGGGTCAGGCTCTGGGAAGAAGCTGTGATTGTTCATTTTGCTTCCCCTACACCTCACAGAGGGCCTGCCACATCATGTGTCCTCAAACAGTGCCTGCCACATCATGAGGATTGTCCAAAGTCATTCTATAGTTAACACCAGACACCCTGATATTCTGATTTCTAGTCTGGCACTGCAGAGAGTGAAGGTGATGGCATTTATCATGGTGTTAAAGCTTTTGAACTATAGAAGCTCCTAGAGCTACATCTTGGGACAGAATGAGCCAGTGAACAAACAAGGTTAGGCCAAGTCTAGAAGCACACACTTGTCCCTCGCCTTTCCCCCCATGTGTGGGAAGGAGGTGGGAAGAGCTGCTTGGAGGAATAAAAACATCCCACTGGGGTAGATTCACCAGTTGTAACAGATGTACCACTCAGGTGGGGGATGCTGGTAAAGGGGAGGCTGTGTACATGTGGGGATAGAGGAAGTCTCTGTACCTTCCACTCCGTTGTGCTGTGAGCCCAGAACTGCTCTAAAAATAAAGTCTGTATTAAAAAAAAAAAACATTGGGGGAAATGAAAAATTCACTTTTGGGTGGGGAAGGACATGTGGACTTTTTGATTTTTACAGTTCTGACTGGGAATTGGGAGGTGAGCTGAGCGGGATGTGAAGGGGAGTGGGTACTGACTTTACAAGAATCAGGTTTATGGGTTGGGCGAAGCTGTCATGGCTGACCTGTCCCACTTGCAAAGCATTTCCGTCTGGGTTTTATTGGGGTTTCACAAAAGGGTGCATGTTTAAAAATAAAAACACTGTAAAAGTTTTGTGCCTGTTTCAGAGAAGATGGAATGCAAGGAAAGGGGCCACTGCTGATTGGCTAGACACGCCCTACAGGGCTGGGCTGTTCTTGCTAACCAGTGATCTCCAGCCTTTGGTGGGGCAGCTGTCAGCAGCCCCCGACACGCCACGGGCCAGCCTGGCTAGCAGGCAAGCAAGCACGGAGGTGTGAAGTCCAGCCCACCGTGCAGCCCCATCACTCCTAGCGTCACCAAGAAGTGTTCCAAAAATGGTAGAGTCACAAATGGGGTGCACCTGAAGGCTTGGTTCTCCCTGTGATGCCTTAAAGTGGTTCTGCTGGGCTCTCTGAGCCCAGAGCTCACTCATTTCCCCCCTAGACCTTGGAAAGCAAGAGCCACGGGTCTGCCTGATTCTGAGGGAACCTGGAGTCAGGGAAGGGCCTCTTCAGTGAGAGTCCAGCAAAGCCAGGATCCCATACACAGCCCCTCCGACATCCCTCGCTTTCTCTCTGGGCTTCTCATGAGAAAGTCCATAATGGATTTGCAGTCTTGAAAGCCCCGAGCGCAAAACACCCGGAGCCTCAGGATTTCCCCCCTTCCCTAACGCTGCTCCCACCCCAGGAGGCCTCCCACACTGATCGAGGTCCCGAGGCATCGAAGCAGAAAGGAGATTCTCACCCCACGCCGTGCTGAGCCCGAAGGCCACATCTTACACCTTGTCTCATAGCCCCGACCCTGCTGCACAGAGAAGAGCAGCTTGCCTCTGGAGGAACACCAGCCGCAAAGACATGGACAGGGCCCAGCCCTTAACCCGCTCCTGTGTGCCTGGCCCTGCCTACCACTGGAGCTGCCCTGACCTTCAGGGCTCCCGATTTGTATTTCCCACTTACTGTAACCAGCCCTGGGCTCTAGAAATCCTGGCCTCTCCCCCATCTTGCTGCCTGGAACCTTCTCTTCTAGGAAAGTCACCACCAGTATGAGCACCCTGTGGCCACCATCTGTCCTCAAGCAGTGACTGGAGTTTTCACTTCTACCCTCTCTTCCCACTGCAGCCCTTCCTTGTTGGGCCCTGTTTCTGGTTTGTCTGCTTGTGGGTGTGAGGATCCACTGGTAGAAGAGATCTTCTCCCACAGCTCCATCCCTCCGGCTCATCCCTAGCCTGGGTCTCTGCCAGAAGGACACCGGTGCAAACCCAACACTAAACCAGAACTCTGACCGGTGCCTTGTTTCCTTGGAAACTAGGTTTGGTGGGGCAGAGCCTTGGAGCCCAGGGGCCCAGGAACTTATGAGGTTCCTTCCTCTTTGAAACAGGCAGGCAAAACTCAGAGCCAATCCCTGAGGAAGAGGCAGCCAGAACACAGCCTGCAGCCCTTACATCTTCTCTCCCTCCAAGGGACTGGCTGATCCCTGGCAGGCAATCGCTGGACTCAAAGCCTCAAACAGATAAGCACCCACCTGTTCCGCAGCTCAGCTCAAAACCCAGGGAGAGGAACAGCAAGAAGTTCAAGGAGACGAGTCTCGTGGGATCCATCAGCCAGCGAGAAGGAGGAAGGGAGCCTGGCGAGGGGCCTGGCAGCTGCTTGCAGACGCCGCAGCAGAACCCGCTCCGTGTCAAGAGTGCTGCCTCTTCTGTCTAGTTTATACATCAGGAACCAGCAGGCTTCCTGTGTCACTGGGACTTTTTCTGCTTGTGTGTCGAGGATTGCTCATCTGCTTTCAGGCCTTAAATCACTTTGCTGTTCCCAAGAAGTCGAGTGAGTGCAAGAGCCAGGAAGACAGCTATGTGGTCACCTCGGCCAAACCCCAGCTTTGGGCAGAGATGTGCTCCCGTCCTCGTCATCTGAGCTGTCCCAGGAAAGGGGGGCTGAGCTTCTCAGGGAAGTTCTGTCTGGTATCTCTTCTTAGAGAGCTAAGGGAAGATGGGGTTTTTTCGGGCTACCCCCAAATCCGGGTCAGGTAGTTCAAAGCTGAACTTGGATGACGGAACTTTGAAGGCCTCGTGAAACTCTTACTTCTGATTTATTCCATAATTTTAGAAAACATCCTCTACATGCAGACAGGTTCTGGAGCCAGAAGTTACAGAAAGGTAGGGTGGGCAAGGATGAATCAGGTGGCAGAAACCCAATTTCCTTGCTGGGTACAAGTGGTAGAATTTGGTGAGCCCTGTGTTTTCTTTTGGGGGGGCTCCCTTTATGTTAGGGCTTGTACCTAACTTTTTATCACAGGGAAGAGACTAGCATTGACAACAGAAAGACCCTGTGCTTTTCCATGAGTTAAGCAATAAGAATGAAACACAAGGAAGATGATATTATCAGTGTTCACAAGGAGACTTGGAAAGGCCAGGCTAATATTTTTAACATCCATTTAACAGGTCAGAGTCCCTCTCCAGTGGGCCTTCCTAAGGGGATCCAGGTGGTAAGAGCTGGTGACACATGTGAACTTGCTTTGTCCTCACTTCCCCCCCATTCACCTGACACCCAGCCACCTCCCCCAGCCCTACCCAGTGGTGTGCTGGAGCCGATACCGACTCATAAGAGCCAATTATTAAATTTTCAGGAATCTGATAAACTGTTTGATTGATACACATTGCCATTATTAAAAATGGAGTTATATAAACTTACAATGAAGTAAATTATACTAACTATAACTAATATGTATATTATATTTATATATGTCCTATACAAATACAGATGTATAAATAATTATATTCTAAGTAAATTGCATTGAATATGAATTATATAAATAAATTATATATAAATATAAACCTGCAATGAAATAAATTATACTGAAAACTAAGGGAATAAAAGCTCAAAGCTCATTACTTCCTAATTGTTTTATGACACTTTACTACTATCTGTGCTTTTGAGGACATTGATGTCTATTATATCTCTAGAGTGGAAAGAAAATACCAGATCCTGTATGCTGTCATACCTCTTTTCCCAGCTCTGCGTGCAACGACATCAAGTTGGTAGCTTGAAATCAGCCAGGTGGGAGTGCATATGCAATGGGAATGACAAGTGATATAAATCAGAGCTTTGATTTCTTGTTTTGTTGGATGTCTAGATGTAAGAAAGTGATGAGAAAAGGTAATGATGCAGGTTAAACTTAAAAGTGTGTCAGGATTGTAGCCTTTGCATCATTAACAGCATGAAAATTTTGAGGACATATCTTTCCAGTATTCAGAAACTATCGTCTTATTCAACAAAAGACATAGTGTCATTAACCAGCAAGTGAGGTTGCAGTATACATCTTTGATGTTTCACATTTCTTTAATTAAAAAAAAAACTGAATACAAACAAGAAGAGAATAGAGTGAAATACCTAAGAGTTAAGAGGAAAAAAACCCCACCAGACTAGAATTCTGCATCCTGAGAAATTACCCTTCAAAAGGGAAGGAGAAACGAAGACTTTCTCAGACAAAGATGGAGGCCATTTGTTGCCAATAGCTCTGACTTGCAAAAACTGCCAAAAGAAGTTCTTGAGAGAGAAGGAAAATAATATAGGTCAGAGACTCATATCTACATAAATAAAGAAAGCATCAGAGAAGGAATAAATGAAGATAAAACCTTTTATTTTTCTTACTCTTATTGATCTAATAGATAACACATTATTAAAAAGGTAAGAGCAACAATGTATGCAATTATGTGTGTTTATGTATACTTCATGTATATGTATATATATATATATATATATGCTGTGTATGCTTAAATATAAGTGAAATGAATGACAGCAATGATACAAGGGACAGGAGAGAGGAATTAGGATACATTAGGAAAATATTGTTATTATAAAGAACTTACACTACCCATGAAGTAGTATAGTGTTTTTTGAGAATGTGCTTAGATTAATAATAAATAATCACTTTGAACATCAATGGTCTAAATGAACTAATTAAAAGCCAGACATCAGCAGAACGGATCAAAAATAAGACCTGACTGGCTCCTGGCACCCGGAGGCAAGAGGTCAAGGCAAGAGACAACAGACTGGCAGGTCCAGAGCCCGGCCCCTTCCACCTCTCAGGTCTGACCTTCCTGTAGCTGGGCTGCAAGATAAGCTGACATTGACACGTTTTCAAGGTTCAGCCTGATACCCACTCTTACAACAATATGGTGGCATATTGGCAACAGGCTGGACAAAGCTGATACTCCCAGATGTGTGCAAAAGCGATGAGAGATGCACTAAAGACAGAAACCAAAGTAAATGCCTCAAAGACTTCTGACACCAGCATAAAAATTGTTAAAGTGGAAAAGGAATAATTTACCCTGACTAAAGCTTGACATGCTATATTTTCAAGGTGAAAATTTTTAGGCACATGTTATGACAGACTGAAAATGATCTCACTTCATGGAAAAAAGTACTCTTGTTTGCAAATTGACAGTGCTGATAAATTGAAGTATGGTAAAAAAAAAAAAAGATCCAATGATATGTTATCTGTAAGAAATTCACTTTAAGTATAAAGACACATAGAGATTTAAATTAAATGGATGGAGAAAGAGAAAACATGCTAGTATTAATCAAAACAAAGCAGAAGTATCTATTTTAATTTCAGACAGAGCAGACATCAAAACAAGGAAAGTTATTGGAGATACAGAAGGATGTTACATAATGACAAAGGGGTCAGTTCTCCAAGAAGATGTAACAATCTCTAACACAAATGTGCCTAACAACAGAGCTTTAAATACATGAGGCAAAAAACTGATAGAACTGCAAAGACACTATTATAGTTGGAGACTTCAACACCTCCTCTATCAGAAATGAATATATCTAACAGGCAAAAAAAATCAGTAAGGACATTGTTGAATTCATCAGCACCACCAATTAATGGGATACAATGGACACACATACACTACTTCATTCAATAGCAGAATACACACTCTTCTCAAGCTCACATGAAATGTTCTCTAACATACCACCTTCTGGGCCCTAACAAATTTAAAAGAATAGAAACCATACAATATCTGCTCTCAGGCCACAATGGAACTAAAGTAGAAATCAGTAACAGAAAAATAACTGGAAAATCCCCAAATATATGGAGCTTAAGCAACATACTTGTAAATAACACTTGGGTCAAAGAAGTAATCTCAAGAGAAATGTTTAAACATTTTGAATATAATGAAAATGAAAGCACATTAAAATTTGTAGGATGTAGCAAACCTAATACTTCAAGGGAAGTTTATAGCATTGAATACATATATTAGAAAAGAAGAAAGACCTTAAATCAATAATCTAAGCTGCCACTTTAGGAAACTAGTTAAGAAGAGAAAATTAAATTCAAAATAGACAGAGGAAAAGAAATAAAAATTAAAGCAGAAAGCAGTGAAATTAAAATCAGGAAATCAATAGAGAAAATCAATGAAACCAAAAGCTGGTTCTTTGAAAAGAAAAACAAAATTGATAAACCTCTAGCCAGGCTAAATAAGAAAAATAGACAAAGGACACAAATTACTAGTACCAGAAGTGAAAGAGGGGACATCACTACCAACCCCATGGACTAATATGAAAAGGATAATAAAGGAATACTATAAACAACTCAGTGCCACCAATTTGATAACCTAGATGAAAGGAAAAATTCCTAAAACTCACACAAAATGAAGCAATCTAAATAGGTCTATGTCAATTAAAGAAATTGAATCAATAAGTAATAACCTTTCAAATCAGAAATTATCAGTTCCAGATGGGCTTACTGGTGAATTCTACCAAACATTTAAGGAAGAAATTATACCAATTCTCTACAATCACTTTCAGAAGATAGAGGGAATTTTCCTAACTCATTCTATTCCATATTCTTGCTCACTTTAAGACCAAAGCCAAAGACATTACAAGAAAACCACAGACCAATATCTCTTATGAACACATATACAAAAAAACCTCAACAAAATATTAGCATATAAATTCAACAATGTATAAAAAGAATTATACACTATGATTAAATGGGACTTATACCAGATACGCAAGGCTGGTTCACCACTTGAAAATCAATTAATCCATCATATCAACAGGCTAAAGAAGACTTACATGATTGTATCAAT